GCACATGGGATCTTCCCGGACCGGGGCACGAACCCGCGTCCCCCGCGTCGGCAGGCGGACTCTCAACCCCTGCGCCACCAGGGGTGCCCCCACCCTCTTGATGCCAACCTGTTGACTGGCTCTTAGTGCAAGGTGCCTCCTGCTACAATCCTGTCCCCCTTCTCTTCCATTCATCCCCGCCTGCCTGCCCCACGCCTGCCACGTGTGTGGTGCCTGATGTCTGTGGCTTGCTGCGAGAGAACCTCTGAGGGTGTGGCAGGAGCAGCCCACCTGTCACTGAAGCTGCTCAAGTGCGGGCCTCCCTCTGCAGTAAATAGCATGGTCCCAGGCTGGAGACCGGGCAGAGTCCTCTAGACTTAGGGCAGAAGAACAGACTGAAGCTCCCTGTTTTGGGGTTTTGGTAGTTTTACCTTTTTCACCATTCATTCACTTCTAACATGAATACAAGCTTCAGCCGTCACGGTCGTGTGCCTTGTTGCGACTCAGTTCAACGCAGTGGGTAGTCACTGAACACTGTGCCAGGCGTCCAGTAAACTCAGGACGCCTCTGTCTGGTCTCTGCACCACCACCACCCCGCCCCCGCCCCCCCGGAAGGCTCCCATCACGTGGAGAGCATGAGAAGTAGGCAGCAGGAGGGAGGGACAGGTAAAAACGCCATCACGAGGGCACAGGGGAGACAGAGAATTCACGCTTCCACACAGGGCCTCCGAGAAAGCATCCCCAGCAGGTAGCGCTGCAGCGGAGCCTGGAAGGAAAGTGAAGCCCTTCCTCCTAAAAACAGTCACAGGCAGAGGTTTAGATTTATTTTCCTGGAAGTCAGACATCATTGACAAAACAGAACATTCTGTCCCCAGGGGTGTCCCTACATGTCTTCTCAGGACGATTGCTCCTGGCAGCTCACTGAGGTTAGATGGGGTGACGATGTCCCTCGGCACATGGACTCACACCGGAGGCCTGAACTATTTTCTGCTGGAATAGTAGGTAGGAATGGTAGGAAATGTTTACTGTGGACAGTAGAGGGCAGTGACAGCTGTCACGAGAACTGTCCGCCCTGCTTCAAACTTGTGGCTAAATGTCGCCAGCAGTAGGCAGACTCGTTATGGAGAGGTCCTTACATGCTCTGTGCTTGCAGGGCTGGGGGCGGGGGGGCGGTGGGGAGTTGCAAACCCAGTTGCATTCAGTCAGGAGCATCGAAAAGAAACTTCCCAGGGAAATGGAGTGTTAGTGGTTAGCATTTGAAGCTGCTGAAAAGAAGGCCTCTTTGTCACCCTTGCCTATTTTTCTGTTAAGTTGATGCAGGAAAATGGAATGAAGTCCAGAAAACACAGACTCCCATTTCACACACTGGTGGCACAAGTTTGAAACGTGCCCATGTCTTAGGGTCTGGTGATCGACACTGTTTCAGGTAGACAAGCCGTGGGCGTCTTGGTGCAGGAGTCATTCGCACGACCCAGGTACTGTGCTTTCCTTAGCAGGGACGGAAGGCAGCACTTTGCATCTGCTGGGTCTGAGCCCTGTTTGTGCGACAGTCCCTTACAAAGTCACTGTGGGTCTTCATAACCACAGCTGCGTGTTGTGCCTGTGTATGTGTGTCCTTGAAACTCCACCATGCCTATAGTCACGGTGGGCGTCTCAGGGCCCGCCGTCCAACCCCACATCTTCAGGGACGGCTGTCTCGGGCCCAGCCCACCTGGCCGGTAGTTGGCAGGATATGGGAGCAGGGAGTAAAAGGAAGCAAAGAAGACCTACAAGGAAGGTGTCATTCCTGGTGTTCTGCAGAACTTAGAGAAGGGGAAGGGGCCAAAACACCCTGTCACCAAGCCCCATCCTGGGACTTGTCTTGGGTCCTGCCCTCTCATCCACCTGCAACAGACAACCTGGCAGAGAACCGGCCCACAGGTTCCGTCTGGGGTCCTCTCTGGCCCTCCTTCTTCTCCTCTGCCCCTTCTCCGATGACCCCATCCAGGCCTTTGCCATCTCCTGGGTGAGCATCCGTCCTCCTTCCTGACCGGTTCCTCCTGCCTTCCATCCGGCCCCAGACGCCATCTCTCTAAAACCACACTCGCACTGCACCCTGTGCCTAATCAGAACAGTTCCAAACCCCTTGACGGGCACCCAGAGTCCTTCACAGTGGGCGTGCAGACGGCGCTCAATCAATGGTGGGTATTATTCGCCTCGCTCTGGTCAGCTGAGCTTGCCCAGCCCCTAGATGGCTCCAAGCTGGATTCCGGTTACACCCAGGGGTGTGATCACACGCTGCCCCCGAATGCCCCCCCTAATGGCTGGTTGCTCACTTACTCAAGCTGAGTAAAAACCTCCATTCTGGGAGTGTCAGAGATAAATTGACAGCATCTGCCCAACATCCTGCGCCTTCCCATGCAGGGAGGCCACACTGACAGGAAGCCTGGGCTTGATGCGTCTGTTTTCTAATCATCAGCTCTAGTCCCCCAGCTAATGGGCAGGGGGCAGGGGGCAGCGGTCAGGGGCAGTGAGAGCCCGGTTCCCTCAGGTCCCTCCCGTGCACTGTCAGTCAGCTTGCAGCCGAGCTGCCGTGTCTCTCCCTCTCTGGAATTTGCAAGCACACCAAGGTTTATTTTTATTCCGTTGCCGTGAAATGTCCGAGAAAGCTCCTTTGGCTTCTTCTCAGGATGGGGCGGCCTGCAGGTCAGCATTTCTTCCCCATGCACTCGGCTGCAGAAGCGGAAACCAAAGGCCAGGACAGAGAATCTGATGTCTGGACCACAGGGGGAGTGAGGTTAGGATCCTTGGGATTTGCCAGCCAAGCCTGAGACTTTATTTTCCTTCTACGGTGAAAGTTGCTTTCTGTGGTCTCAAAGCCCCCAGAGCAACAGAGCTGAGAACAAACTCCCATCGTAACACCTCAGGCCCTGACCACACTTCTTTGCAAATTAGAAGCCCATCTTCCCTGCATCGCAGACCAGCCCGAGGGTACACAGCAGGGTGAGTGGAGAGGTCTGGGTTTCTGCCCTGTTCACCCCACGGCCGGGCCCCAGGCACAGCAGCACAGCTGCCCACTCACCAAGATTCTGTGCTTGGGCTGGACACCAAGGCTGAGCCACAAGGTAGGAGTGGTCATTATTTCTTGGAAAATTGCTTGTGGGTTGAAGGTTGGGCCCTGGGAAACTTGTGAAAGGAAGAAAGGGTGGTCCACGGATTCCCGCCATGAAGGGGAGTTCACTGCTCCAAAAATCCCAAGGCACAGGTCTTTTTTTCTCTCCCACCTGGTGGCTCAAGGTGGTGTCTTGTGTGGCCCACAGCTCTGGAATCGGAGGCGTGACATGATGGTTCCTGTTACACCTGTGGGACAGAGTGTGGGGTCTGCAACCAGAGAGACTTGGCTTTGAGTCCTGTGTGCACCACACAGAACTGTGTCACTGAGCCTTAGTTTCTTTATCTGTAAAATGGGTCTTTTGCAGAGATGTGAAAACAGTAGTGAAGTACTGGCTCAGAGTACTACACTCAGATTTTAGAGGCCCTGCAAATGAAAGATGAGGGTGCCCTCAAGATGTAAATCAAAATAAGAGAAAACAAAACTGTCAAGTAAGAATAAGAATATAGAAAATTGTGATTTTTCTATTGATGATTATATCGGTTCTTTAAAATGTTTTTGAAATATCCATTTTTTTGAAAATTATTTTTAGTGCTCCTGTTTCCTGGTGTAACAAGCATAAGCTTAGACTGCCTGGTGGGCAATCTCAGATGCTGGTTTTATTGTTAACCTCTTCCCTGGGCTTTCACACCAAGGTGGGAAGACGAACTGTGTGCTCAGATAGAACCTCATTCTTCCCGTGTCGTGGCCTTAACTCAACATACCACAATTGCTTGCCAACTTGTCTGTTTTCCTCTGGAGGTTGTCAGCTCCCCAGGGGCAGAGACCACATGGGTTCTGAATCATCATCCTCTCTCCAGTGCCAGGCACAGAGCTTGGCGTAGATATTTCAGCACACTTCACTGAAGACATGGCTCACCCGGGCTTAGTTCCAAATAAACTATTCACTGGGTCCTCCAACTGGGGTCCTTTTCTAGGATGTCTTCCCTTACAGGGGACACACACACCAGGGGCACCAAGTGAAAGGCACGGCTGGAGGAGTGAATAGTGTTCAGACCGTACATCTCTTTGAATGCTGAGAAAAAGAGTTGAGAAGCACAATTCAAGTTATTTTGTGTTTCTCCAGGGCAGAATTGGAGCTCAAACTGGGAGTTGTAGGAAGGTAGATTTGGGCCGTTTTGGGGACAGACTTTTTATATTATTTCTGTCTACAAATGGAGCAGGCTGCCTCGGAAAGTAGCAAGCTCCCCAGGACAGTGGCGGTCGGGCAGAGACTGGCCAGTGGCCCATCTGAGATGATGTATCAATACTAGGGACTGCTCCAGCCAGGGAGCTGGGGACCAGATCCCCTCTGTTCATTCCGTTCCTAGTTGCTGAGAATAGTCAGGAAAAGGAATGCTTCCGCGCTTGGTGTTAGAAAGTCTTTTCTTTCTCAGTCTTCACCACCTACCAGCCTGGCGGTTGTGTTGACGTTCGTGTTTGCCCTTTGAGACCTTGTTTCCACACTCTGCCCTGTTATGTGCCCTGGAAGGGCCAATGTTGAACTCTGTGGACAGGAACGAGAGCGTTCCCAGTTGTCTGGCCAGTGGAGGGACAGGCTGCGGACAGTGGGGTGAGAGGAGGCCGGCCACCTCCCAAGGCGAGCAGAGGCTGCAACCGTCATCAGGCAGCTGATCCCTACCAGCTGCCCCTGCCCCTTCAGCCCGGGGGGAAGTTGGGCTTCCCCCCACTGCACTAGCCCAGGGGTTCTTCAGTATCCAAGCCGAGTCTCCCTTACCACTGTCCCACACCTGCCAAGTAACCCCTTCCCTACACCCTCTTTGATCACCCGTTCCAAGAGTGCCATCCAGTCTCTGCAGCGTGGTAGCCTCTCTGGGCCTCAGTTTCCCCACTTGTAAAGGGAGTTTCTAAAATATCTACCTCGAGGGTTAGCTCACGGTGAGGCTAACGTGAGTTGCATGAGTGCAGAGCCGTAGCAGAGGGCTGGGGCGGATGCACGGTGGATGCCGGCGTCTTTGCCCTCCCCCTGGCCCAACTACACCGCTCCTCCGAGGGGGGCCCTCCAGATCCTGCTGATTCAGGTTGCAGTTATCCCACTGAGAGCTCGCAGTGGCCCCTCTGCAGGGACCTGCTCCCCTGACGGAGCCAATCCACACCAGCCCACCCCTCCGTTCCTCCCCGTGGAGTGTCTAGTGAGCTCTCCGTGCACCTCACACCCCAAGTGAAGGCGGGGGGAATCTGTGAGCCGTCCCTCCAGGGGTCCTGCTGACTCCCTGTCCGGGGCGTGGCCAGGCATGAGAAAAGCTTGATGTCCAAAGATGTACAAAGGGACCCCCTAGGATCATTCTTGCCTTAAAATAGTGAAATAGTGAAAACGAAAATCTGTCCAATTAATGCAAGCACTTAAGATATTTTTTTCCACGTTCCAAATCTTGTTCACCCACATAGGACATAACGTTTGTAGCCGTAATCATAGCGTCCATAACATTTCGTGCTGAACTTTTCCACACACTCTTATCACACCTTCTGGTGTTTCCAGGTGGTCTTCACAGTGGCCACTGCTGGTGACCGTAGAGGATTTCCTCAGCAAATTAATATACGTAGTTTACCAAGCCACTCCCCTATTATAGCCAGCTTTGCGTGGATAGCTCTTGTTTCCTGCCCCTGAATCATTTCCTTAGCAGAAACCCCAGCAGCAGGGGGACCACCTGGAAGGGAAGGGTGTGACCCTGGCCGTTACCTCCTAATGTGGTCGCCATACTGCTTTCTAAGAAGATTGCGTCCACACATGCTTCTCCTACAGAGTGTGAGCTGACTGGTTTCAACACCAAGCCACCACACTAAGCATGTTTTTACTAACTTAGTAGGTGAAAAATTATACTTCGAGGTTATTTTAATTTGCACTTATTTTGTTTATTTTAGTGGTGAAAATATTTCCCCGATTACTTGCTTGTTATATGTATATACATGTTATATGTATACATATTGCATATTACATATTTGTTTATGCTTGAATGGTCTGTTCATGTCCTTTAAATTGATGCACGGGCAAGGGTGGGGGACTGATTTTTGTCAGTAATTTGCCAGTAAGTTTTTGCCTGACATCCTTGTTGGTGTTTAAGGGTCATCCTGCCCCTTTTGTAGGCTCTGAGCTGCAGGACTCACTGTGCCTTGAAAGTAACCCAGTTTCCATACTTTAAAACGTCAAGCAACCATTCCCTCTTAAGTAGTCTTTTGGTTTCCCAAGTCAAGCAGCCCAGTACCGTGCAGAGAGCAGAGCAAGCCGGGTCAGACGCATGAGGTCAGATCCTGGCTCTGTCGTGTCACAGCCACTTGCTGGTCAGCCAACTGGGACAACCGCTTGGCCTCTTTCGACTTCCATCTCTTAATTTTAATGTGGGGTAAAGTAACCACTGTGAAAATTTAGCGTGAGACTTGGATGGGATGATGTCACCTCCTACCAGCTTACAGGGAAGCAAGTGTTGGCTGAAGCCAACAGCATCGTTGGGCTTTTCTGAATTTTGCCTTAAATTTTTTTCTCTTTTAGTGTTGGTGTCTTTTACCCTGCATAAAATGAAGTCATAAATCAAAACTTATTTCCTAAATATTGGCAGCCTACACTTGAAAGACGAGGCTTGGGGTCTTGATTTGAGACATAAAAATAATGAAATCAGTCATAACTGAGAACAGTTTAGAGATCCATTGGGCGTTGCCATCTGTGCCCTTGGGGAGCAGGGACAGTTGTGGCTCCGCCCCGTCGGCACCACTTCTGTTCTTCGTGACTGCTGACTCCTTGTTTCCCAGGCAGCTTCAGCAGCAGCAGGCGGAATTGGAGGTGCACCAGAGAGACGGGTTGTCATCCTACGACTTACCGCAGGTGAATTTCTGGAAAGCGCTTTCCCAGTTGGAACTGTCTCCAACCAAAGGACTGCGGACTAAATCCAATCCTTAGCTTGAGCCCCTCAGCTCAAGAGGTGCTGTCTGTCCCTCTACCCACCCTGCAAAAAGCATTTTGGTCCCCGGAGTGGGGCGGGGGGTCGGCTGTGACTCTTCCATGCAGAGCTGAGCCGAGCCATGAAGAGTGTAAAACAGGAAGCGCTAGGAGACGCGGTCAGCCAGCACAGTAAGTGCCCTACATACGAACCTTCAAGCTGCGAGCTTTCAAAGATGCGAACGTGCATTCACACGTCCAGTCACGGAAGTTAGCTCACGTGTCTGGCGTACATTGTGACATGCGTGCGTCCTTTAAAAGTGACTGTGCTTTTGTGTACTTTACAGCACTGTAGAGAGTACAGTAGTACAGTATCTTTATTTCAAGCCCAGGATGTCCAGAAGCAAGCGTAAAAGCAGCAGTGATGTAGCTGGTACTACTGTACTTTTCAAGGTACTGTACTGTAAGATTAAAAAGGTCTTCTTTATGTTTTGTTTGTTTTTTATGTAGTATTTGTGTGAAAAGTATGATAAACCTATTACAGTACAGTACTATAGAGCCGAATGTGTTAGTTGGGGACCTAGGCTAACTTTGTTGGACTTACGAACAAATTGGACTTACGAACATGCTCTCGGAACGGAACTCGTTCGTATGTAGGGGACTTACTGGTACTGAGATGCAGAGGCTGTGTGGGAACTAACCTTAACCCTAACCCTAACCCTAAGCCTAACGCTAACCCTAACCCTAAGCCTAAGCCTAAGCCTAACCCTAACCTAACCCTAACCCTAAGCCTAAGCCTAACCCTAACCTAACCCTAACTCTAAGCCTAAGCCTAACCCTAACCCTAACCCTAAGCCTAACCCTAACCCTAAGCCTAAGCCTAACCCTAAGCCTAACCCAAACCCTAACCCTAACCTAACCCTAAGCCTAACCCTAACCCTAAGCCTAAGCCTAACCCTAACCCTAAGCCTAAGCCTAAGCCTAAGCCTAACCCTAACCCTAACCCTAACCTAACCCTAACCCTAACCCTAAGCCTAACCCTAACCCTAAGCCTAACCCTAAGCCTAAGCCTAACCCTAACCCTAAGCTTTGAACTGTGTCAGCCCTGCAGCCTCCTCGCTGCTTCTCCCGCCTTTAGTCTGAGCCCCTCTGTTCTCAGCACACTTGTCCAGTCACAGCCTGTGCCTCCCACTTCACTGCCCTGTCCCCTTTCCTTCTCCCATCTCCCCAGGCCCCCCTGCGGGAGAAACCACAGCTTGTGTTGGTATTTGGCCTCTCTCTCCAATTAAACTTTATGTTCACTTTTCCTGATATTTAGACTAGGTTGATTATTTTTATTTATCTCTCTCCAAGTGATCAATGGGACTCCAGTGATCTTTCTGTGACCTCTCGTTCACACCCCCGCCCGTCTGTTCTTGGCTTTCCTGTACAGAAAAGCTCCTGCCCTACACAACACTGAAGGCTGAAATGCCAGCAATTCTGAGGGAGGGGGATCTGGTGGAGGCAAACAGGTGACTGCTGGGAGCGTTTGCTCTGCACCTTACACGCAGGATGCTCTTGTGTTTTCACGTGCAAACAGGTTCCTGTCTCCAACCTGCCAGCCGGGGTTCACGAGGCCGGGAAGTCTGTGGAAAAGGCAGACTCAATCTTTTCCCAGGAAAGAGATCCGCGGTTTGCCGAGATGTTTGCAGGAATCAGTGCATGTAAGTTTCCAAAGGAGGCTGAGGTCGTGAGATTGTGGGGTTTATAGTTGCTGTCCAGCCATTTGGAGGCAGCCACCCTTGAGGGTGAATTTACAGCGACTTTTACAGGGTAGAAAAGTAGCACCAAATACAGGGGTTCCAGTGGATCCTCTCTACTCCTGGCCTCGCCTCTCATTTACCCGTTACCTGGGGCAACCAACCTGGAGCCTCTGACATCTCATCTTCAAAATTTGAGGAATTGGAATAAATGAGCTCTATTAATCATGGTAGAATTTAGCTTTATCAAGACAAAGACACGTCCCTATAAAAAAAAAAAAATCTCTTGGGACTTCCCTGGTGGTGCAGTGGTTAAGAATCCGCCTGCCAATACAGGGGGCACGGGTTCGAGCCCCAGACCGGGAAGATCCCACGTGCTGTGGAGCAACTAAGCCCGTGCGCCACAACTACTGAGCCTGCACTCTAGAGCCCGTGAGCCACAGCTATTGAGCCCACGTGCCACAACTACTGAAGCCCGCACACCTAGAGCCCGTGCTCCGCAACAAGAGAAGCCACCGCAATGAGCACACTGCAACCAAGAGTAGCCCCCGCTTGCCACAACTAGAGAAAGCCCACGCGCAGCAACGAAGACCCAACACAGCCAAAAATAAATAAATTTATTTTAAAAAAAAAAGAATCTCAACTTAATCTCTAATGCAGAGAGGACCACATTTCAAAATAAAAATATGCAGTAAAAAGGAAAATAAAAAGTATCCAGTATCCTACCACCCAGATTTAATCTTTTTTAACTTTTTAAAAGTCGCCTTTTTTGTCTTTTTCTACACATATGAAATCTTTTTATATACAAAATCAAGCTCCTGCTGTTTGGTAGCTTACTTTTTCACATGACAATTTATTATGAACGTCTTCCTAGATTATTAAATGGTCTAAATCGTATTTACCGCCTGCGTAGTGTTCCATTGTATGGGTGTTCCACGGCTCATCCTTCGTGGTGGTCACTGGGGTGCTCACCTGTGTTAGCACTGCAGTTAGAGAAAATGGCGCCATTCTTGGGACTTCGCTGGCGGTCCAGTGGTTAAGACTCTGTGCCTCCACTGCAGGGGACTCGGGTTCAATCCCTGGTCGGAGAGCTAAGATCCCACATGCTGTGAGGGGCGGCCAAAAATAAATAAATAAATAATAATAAAAAGGTATTTTTAAAAAAAGAAGATGGTGCTGTTCAAAGTTCAGGTGTCACGTGGAACCCACGTGTGCAGCTGCCTCACTCGCCCACTCAGACTGCCGCTAAGATCGGCAACATATAAAACTTGGAAATGTCTTTGTCAGTTCCAAAATTCAGGGAAGAGATCCCATTTTCATGTGATCTGTGAGATACAGTGTAATCGGGATCAGCTGAAGGGAGAAACCGGCCGACTCATGCCATGGAAGCGTGGGGAACGCAGTAATGGGAAGGGACCCCCATTAGCGTCCTCCTAGGACTTAAGGAACTGGGGTCAGCACGGGCCACAGGGAGGACAGAGAGGCCCCGGGCAGCTGGCAGAGAGCAGATCTCAGGCCTCCTGCTGCCAGCACCTGTAGTGGAAGACCACAGCCCTCGCGCCCACGTGGCTGTGAACCAGATGCTAGGAAAGTAGGGAGCGCGCTGGAGCTGCCTGAACTGAGAACAGCAACAGAGAACAGACCTGTTAGCATGACGGGGAGGCTCCCCTCTGGTGCTTCCCACCAGCCATCCAGATGTGCCACCCGCCCACAGCGGTATTTCCTCGACTTTTATAGAGAAACGTAATTTCATCCAGCAAGAGGAAACAGCAGAAGTTCCTCTTCCTCTCAGATAAGCCTGAACTATTTGATCAGATACCCACAGCATTTCTGGGAAACCCATTTGAAATTTTAATATTATACAAACAGAGACCTTTTCCCATAAAGATGACAAAATAGAAAAAAAATTAACAGAAAAGGAAAAAGAAGGGAAGGAAAACATGTAATCCAAGAACATTTCCACCAACCAAGCTGCTTTCCTATATGAAAAAGCAACAGAAAGACCTTCTCGGACATGCACCATCTCCTTATACTTCCTGGAAAAAAATTACCTGCAGAAGACTGTGCTTTTTGTGAAATGAATCAAAATATGGAACACAAGAATGGAAGTGATAGGTTGGAAAAGAAGCAGCGATGAAAAAGTGAAACTAGTGACACCTGGAATTAATATAACATTGTCAGAAGGTAAAAAAGATATTTAAAAATAAAAACCAGAGTCAGTTCAGCAAAGATACATACTTTGGATCAGGGGACTAGAAACAGACATTTCTCATCAGTCTATACTATTTTATCTCTGACATATAACTTCAAGTATGCTTAAACATAACCACTAATGGATGGGAAAAAAAAAAAAAGATGGAAGGAGAGAGGTCTCGCCTCCAAACCGCTTCCAAGAAAAGACAAGGAAAGTTTTAGCAACTTGCAAAACACTCAGGAGGAAAATAAAGAGAGAGAGCAAGAAAATATGAACAGCACGAGTAATGAAATAAGTTGATGCTCAAGGGCTTCTGACTGATAATTCTTGAATAGTATGATGCCAAAATACGATATAACCGAAACAAGATAAAATGAAAAGTATGGAACCGGAAAGAGCGGGTAGTGTTGATACTCTCCAAAACCAAGGAGGAAAGCAGAGAAAGAAGCCTATTGTGTACAGGTAAAAGATGGAACCTAAAATGAAGATATAAATGTCATGAACAATGAAATGTGAAATCCAAAAATGGTTTGAAACACAAGAGATCCTGACAAAGCCAGATGACGGCAGAAGATTTCGATATGCCTTTCTTCATCTCTAGCAAATCATGTACATCAAAATAATAAAGATACAGAATATTGAATAATTTTATGTATATATATATATATATATTTTTTTTTAAGTGATAGATAGATAGATAGTGTACCCCACAGATGCCCTGGAGCATTTAGAAAAAAAATGTTTCATATTGAACCAACCACCAAAAAACCTTAAATACATGAGAAAAAGTGGCTTGTTTATAGTCAAGAGAAGACCAGAAGTCTTCCTAACTCACGCAACTTTTAGCCTCATCTCTTTCTCTCCAAGATCCAAGGCCTTATGATTTGGGTTAGCAATACACACCCGAGTCTGATCTCTTTCCATCCTGTAAGGATTTCCCAATGAGCACCCCGTCACTGCAGCAAAAGAAAATGGACCAGGAAAACTGCTCAGTGCCTCCGGTTTCTCAAAACGTCACAGAGGTTTGTTGACATGTGTGGGCGATTTGTCACATGGCCCCTGAAGCCAGCTCTCTGGGCCCCAAACCTGTGAGCCTGAGTGTCCATCACTTCTCACGCTCACTCAATGGAGGATCCACCCGCTCCGCCCATCCCCCCACCAGCAAGCCAGAGACAGGTGCAGACGTGGGGTCTGTCCAGGCACAAAATAATTGCCATGTAACTCACCTTTATATCCTTTATTCCAAGATCTTGTTGCAAGCAGGGATGTTAGGGTCTATAGGAATGAGATGCGTAGGGATTTTGAGATTCTAGGGAAATTGGGAGGGTGCTTCGGAGAGCCCTGGACCCCTCAATTACCAGAGGGAGTGAGAAGGCTCCCGTTCCCACTCCTGTTTCTCAAACTACCACCCTCTTCCTCGTGTCAAGATCTAACAGCCCAGCTGGGATTTGAGCCCATTTCTTCAGCCTCTCTCTGTGGGAGAGACTGCTGAACTGAGTTTTCTGCTTAGCACTCCGTGGTGGCAGAAAAGCATCCACTATTATGCATCTTGGCTGGGCCTGAGTGTTTTCACTTGTATGAGGAGCTTGGCCTCTCAAAGAAACCCTCGTGGAAGGGTAAGGAACACAGGTCGGGGCTGCTCCAGGTTAGCTGGAGCACCTGCTGGGTTAGGGCAGCGGGGTCAGGCAGGGTTCTGGGCCAGTGGGAGGAGTGCTGGACTTGGATTCAAGCCCTGAGTCCTCCTTCACTGGCTCGTGAGCTTGGACAAAGTGAGCCTCAGTTTCCACACTAGCAAGTGATAGCAAACATTTAAATGCTGTTGGCTCTGATACTGGCCCCTGTTCTAAGCACTTAACTTATGCTAACTCATTGAATTCCCACCACATCCCTATGAGGAAGCTACTATTATTATCACCATCTTTCACTCGGGGAAACGGAGACAGGAGGAGGTTAAATAACATGTCCAAGGCCACACCCCAGATAAATAGGGCAGAGCTGGACGTTAGAGTCTGTCCTCTTAACCATGGCTCTGCACCTTCTCATGCATAAAATGAGAGGTATCGGGAATTCCTTAGCGGTCCAGTGGTTAGGTGTTCGCCTTCCAGTGCAGGGGGTGCAGGTTCGATCCCTGGTCGAGGAGCTAAGATCCCACATGGCAGACTTCCCTTGTGGTCCAGTGGTTAAGAATCCACCTGCCAGTTCAGGGGACACGGGTTCCATCCCTGGGCCGGGAAGATCCCACATGCTGTGGAACAACTGAGCCTGCGCTCTAGAGCCTGTGCTCTGCAACAAGAGAAGCCACCGCAATGAGAAGCCGCACACCTCAACGAACAGTAGCCCCCGCTCGCCGCAACTAGAGAAAGCCCGTGCACAGCAACGAAGACCCGGTGCAGCCCCCCCCCCCCGCAAAAAAAGCACAAACATATAATAACAATAATACTAAAAAGATCCCACATGGCTTGTGGCCAAGAAACCAAAACATAACACAGAAGCGATATTGTAACAAATTCAATGAAGACTTTTTAAAGAAAATGGTCCTCATCAAAAAAATCTAAATAAAAAAAAAATAATAAGAGGCATCATACCCACCCCAGGTGAGAAGAACTCCGTAAAATACTATGTGAGGAAGAACCCTCTTTAGTTCTTTTCATCTTCCCGACTCTCGGAAAGAGCCTGCCTTACAGCTCATGGCCCAGCTGAGGCTTCAGGGAGCAGCCAGGGGCCCTCAAGAGCAGCTGCAGAGATCAGGGTGGGGCAGGCTGCATGGGGATGGGATGGGCCACCCAGGGCCTGTGCCCTCCTGCTCGTGCACGCCACCCCTGCATCTGTGCTCGGGGCTCCCTGCCCCAGGGTCTGCAAGGCAGGAACTCCTCCAATGTGACCCTTGCTCTGCTTTTCCCAGCGGAGAAGAAAGTGATGAGCTCGGCGTCTGCAGCAGGAACTCAGCAGATCTACTCCCAAGGAAGCCCGTTTCCCCCGGGACACTCGGGAAAGGCCTTCAGGTACCTGGTGGGGGCGGGCAGCGGGCCAAGAGGGGAGGAAGAGGCCCCCCTACCCAGCGAAGCCCTGGGTCTCAGAGCTTGGCTCTGCGTGCAACAAATACTACAAACCTCACTTCGTGCTTACACATCCACATGCCCGGGCCAGGCTGAGGAGTCTGGTGGCTCCGGTTCTGCCCTGTGAGCCCTAGGTGAGTCACCGTAAGTGCATGGTGTCAGTTAACTCTATATCAGATGTGAAAGGTGCCAGCCACTGCGTTGTGTAGCAGCGCCTGCCGGGGAGAAGGGAGTGAGGTGGCCTCTAGCCAGGGCCCAGATGGGGCAGAGCTGGGGCACCTGACAAGGCAGCAGAAAGTGCCCTGTTCCCTGGTTCTGAGGCCATGGCCAACTCCAAGGGGGAGAGGACAACTTGGCCCATCATGCCTGGGATCTCAGCCTAAAGGGCCACTCATGGGAGGTACAAGCAGGATGTCTGGCCTTCCCACAGCTTGGTTCTTAGCATCAGGGACCTCTTGTAGGTCACAGAGGAAGCTGTGACAACACCACCATGACAGTACCACCAGAGGCAAGGCCTGGCTCCCCTGCCTTCCGGGGACAGGAGCACAGGCTGCGGAGAATGGCTAGAGGAGAGACCCGCAGCATTCAGGGAGGGTGTGTGGGTACTCAAGTGAGCATCAGATGCCCGCAGACTCACTAGGAGAAGCATCTCAGATGCGTGCCCAGGAGGATGGGGCTCCTCATACAGCCCAGCCTCTGGCTGACTTGGCCAGAGCTGAGTTTCCAGATAAGATGCAGGCAGGGACCAAGACTGGGCAGGTGGGACCAGCCACCCCAGGGAGAGGTCCGGGCCGGGACTGCCCTCTCTAAGGGGATGAGGCTCATGCTTCCACACTGGTCCATGGACAGACCTCCTGGGGAAGCAGCAGGTAGCTCGGCAGCTGTGCCCTGGAACAGCAGCCTCTGGAATCTTGGAGTGGCTCTGACCAGCCGTGCAGCTGGGCCCCGCTGGATTGCAACCTGTTCTGAGTCTCTGAACAGGCAGCGACTCTCTGGTCTGGGGACAGGAGGACAAGACGACAACCCCCAGTGAGCTGCTCCCAAGCCGTCATCACTGCCGGTCACCCCGCTCTGCTGAGCGCTGGCCGAGCCTCCAGACTTATGCCCTGCTGCTGTGTTACTCACGCACTCAGCACACGGTGACCAATTGCAGTTCCGTGCCAGGCTGTGTGCCAGCCCAGGCCCGCGTTCACCGAGTCCTCATAACACTTGCTGCTCCCCCCGCAACCCCCTGCCGTCTGGACAGAGGGCAGCAGGGACGGAGCAGAGGCCAGAGGTGAGGAGGGACAGCCCGAGGCAGCGTGGCAGGGGCGGGAGGGCCGCCCAGAAGCAAAAGTCAGGTGGCCATCTGCTGCCAGGGCGGGCACCCAGCCATCGGGGATGTGGTGAGCGGAGCCCGGGAAGCAGGAGAGATGGGGAGGCCTCGAGTCTGGGAGAAATGGAATGAGACCTCGGAGGCCTCGAATACCACGCCCGGGAGTTCGGACTCCATCACTGATGACTTGTGGGAGAAAAGGCACTGATGGAGGAAGCAGAGCCCTGGAGAAAGTTCAGGGGTGCGGGGGGCACAGTGGAGGAGTGAGACGGTCCAGCTGGAGGTGCTGTGCCTGTGTGGACTGTCGTCACAGAAACAAAAAAGCGGGGCAGGGTGGAGGGCAGTTACCAGAAGGGAAGGCAGGCTGATGTCTGGACGGCTGTGCGAGGAAGGAGTCCGGGGGGACACCAGCCTCCATGTGGAGCCTGGCACTGGGGAGGCACTCACTAGATACTGGTCTATAGAAGGAATGGATGGATTAATTAAAGAGGGCTTCCCTGGTGGCGCAGTGGTTAGGAATCCGCCTGCCAATGCAGGCGACATGAGTTCGAGCCCTGGGCTGGGAAGATCCCACATGCCGCGGAGCAACTGAGCCCGTGCGTCACAACTACTGAGACCGCGATCTAGAGCCCGTGCTCTGCAACACGAGAAGCCACCGCAATGAGAAGCCCTCATGCAGCAACAAAGACCCAACGCAACCAAAAATCAATCAATCAATCAAATAAATTTATAAATAATAATAATAATCAAAGAACGCATGAGGCTTTACGCCTGTGGGATGGGCAGTTTCCTGTAAATCTGCAGGGCCTGAGCTGGTTTGAGTGGGAAGGGCTATGGGATGAATGACCCTGAGCCCCCACCAGAACGGCACAGCTGTGGCAGCACATCCCTAAGTACATCCCCAGCCCAAGTCCTGCTGTGGTCCCGTGGGCCCTGTGCATACGTTAGCCGGGGCACCTTTCCTAGGACCCACAGGGCTAACTGCCAGCTCTCCAATCAGTGCTGTGAGGGCACCGAGGGCCACCCTGACCCAGAGGACAGTGATCAGAAAAGGCCCTCTGAGCTCACACATTCATCAGGAGGGAGAATGGGAAAGGAGTCCTGCGTTAAGTGAGGAAGTGCTTTCAGGAGGGTGGGAATGAAGTTCCCCTTGATCGTGGTTAGTGCAGGAATGTCTTGTCACCTCTGAGTTCTTATTTTAAGAGGGACCGGATAGGGGCTTCCCTGGTGGCACAGTGGTTAAGAATATGCCTGCCAATGCAGAGGACACGGGTTCGAGCCCTGGTCTGGGAGGATCCCACATGCCGCGGAGCAACTGGGCCCGTGAGCCACAACTACTGAGCTTGCGCGTGTAGAGCCTGTGCTCCGTAACAAGAGAGTCCGCGACAGTGAGAGGCCCGCACACCGCTCGCCGCAACTAGAGAAAGCCCTCGCACAGAAAAGAAGACCCAACACAGCCCAAAATAAATACATAAGTAAATTTAAAAAAAAAAAAAAAAAAAAAAGAGGGCCCGCCACAACTACTGAGCTTGCGCGTGTAGAGCCTGTGCTCCGTAACAAGAGAGTCCGCGACAGTGAGAGGCCCGCACACCGCTCGCCGCAACTAGAGAAAGCCCTCGCACAGAAAAGAAGACCCAACACAGCCCAAAATAAATACATAAGTAAATTTAAAAAAAAAAAAAAAAAAAAAAAGAGGGACCGGATAGCATGGAAAACATATTGTAATACAATTAGTGAAACGGTACCCGGTCTTCTTTACTGGTCTATAACCTTCCATTCTTTAAAAACCTGGCTGAAAACCCACCTCCACCCAGACCCTCCGTGATTAGCCCCCTTCTTCCCATGTGATTCGCTCGTGGGCACCCAGCACTCTGCCTGTGCGGAGCTGGCCCTGGGGAGGCAGGAGGAAGAGCCTGAAACGAAATGCAAGTCTTCCTTCCCCGGTCTCCTTTATCTGTAATGAGCTTGTTGTATAATTGGCGGAACTGGGAAGATCTCACAGAAGCCACGCCTATAGCAGTGCAGCCAGCGCAGGCCTAGGGGCAGAGACAGCGGTCAGGGACTGAGCCTGCGGGAGGACAGGCAGGGAGCATGGGTGACACACACAGCGGGTGTCTACTAAGGACTCGTTGGATTCAACCGAAGATTCACTGAAGGGTCAAAAGAGGTAAACAGTTCGTGCTGGGATGGGGGCGGGCAGGTCCAGGCCCCACCCAGCAGGCTTCCACTGACAGGCTCTTTTCTCTGAAAGCCTGTGGCCTATTTCCTGAATCCTTAAGCTTTATAGGTGCCCCAAAGGAACAAATTAACCAGAGCACAGAGAGCAAGTTAACACCAAGACTGATTTTTATTCCAAGAAGCTGCTCTTTTCCTGGGAATCATCCGTTGAAAGCAAGAGACACAGAGGGGTGGGATTGGGGCTCCGTAGAGAAGAGTGAGGGGGAGACCCTGTGGGGAAAAAGAGGCAGCAGTGATGGGTTGAGGGAGCCCCGGGGGAGAGAAGGAAGACCGGGGGCTCCCCCTGAGGGCCTTCGATCCAGTGATGCACAGCTCCGGTGGGAGAGAGCGGTGCGCTCCGGGAGAGGTGGCCCGGGACAGGGCGCGTGGAGCTGGGGCGTCTCCCTGGGACGAATGCGTTTTCTTCCCTTGCAGTTCTTCGGTGGTGCACGTGCCTGGCGTGAACGATATCCAGTCCTCTTCCTCGACGAGCCAGAACATGTCCCAAATCTCCCGGCAGTTAAACCAGAGTCAGGTGGCGTGGGCGGGTAGTCGGCCGCCCTTTCCCGGACAGGTATGGGTGTCGGTGAGGGCACTGCCCCCAGGTGCCCAGAGGGTGCAGAGCACCTGGGCTGTGCTTACTTTGCATCCCAGCTCTGAGAAGGGGCGGCACGCTGAGCTGCAGCTGACCACCCCAAACGCAGCCGGGCTCCCAGGAGCACTGGCCACCCTAAGGGTACTTTGAGAACTGGGTCCCCAGCAATGGTACCGAGTCTGGTTTCAGCAGCCTTTTCTCCCGGCAGTCTCGGGGAAGTCCTGGGGGACCTGGGGGAGGGGCGGGTGCACAGAGGCCCTCGATCAGGAGCGAGCCCCTCACCACTCGGGACCTGAATTTCCCTGGCCCAGGAGTGCGTGAGAACATCAGCGCTGGGACACACACTCCGTGTGGTCGCTGTGAGGACGGCTGTCCTCTGGGCTGAGGGAGTCCTTGCCAAGGTCCCATAAACAGAAGGCACAGGACCTAGATCCTTGTAGCCCTGGGCATGAATTTCAACCAGACCTGCCCCAAAGATCCAGGGCCCCAGTGCTGTGGTTCTTGGGCCGGCACACAGTGGCCTGATCCCAGGCCTTGTGCCCAGCAGGCCCAGGAGGGCCTTTGGAGCCGCTATCGGCCCAGGGCGGGACTGCCGCTGCGGGTGGCAGTGACCAGCTCAGGCCGTGGACCGGGGACACCTGCTGCTGATGCTCTCCATCTCTGTGCTTCATCCCGATTGCAGCCCATCCCCTCCCAGTCCAGCAAGACTCAGTCTTCTCCCTTTGGGATCGGAACGAGCCACACCTACCCAGCCGACCCCTCCTCCTACAGTCCTCTCTCCAGTCCAGCCACCTCCTCGCCCAGCGGGAACGCCTACTCCAGTCTTGCCAACAGGACTCCAGGGTTCGGTAGGTGGGGAAGGAGGGAAAGAATGCCTGGGAGCGTCAGCAAAGATGCTTTCTGAACATTCTGAGTTTGGGGGTCTGAGCCCCAAGCTCCCCGAATCCTGGCACCAGGCAGGTCTGGAAATTTCCAAGCGCCTCTTCTCTCTGGCTATCTGGAGGCCAGTCGTGTCCCTAAGAGACTGGCTGCCTAGACCTCGGCTTTGTGGATTGACTTTATCATTTTCGAGGCTCTGGGACTCTACTCCCTTGCGCTGATGTCATCTGAATGCTATTTTAACCCTTTATGGCTTGGCAAGGGCTTTTAGGTCGCCCAAGTCAAAAACCCTATAGTCCTATTTCAAAAAACTAGAAAGTATAGGTAATAGGGATGACCAATTGTGTAAATAAATTGTGTAAGTAATAAACACCATAAAGTTCACTTTTTAATATTAAAAGAGGGATCCTATCCCGCGTAAGAACATCTTGCCTAACATTGTTTGCACAACCTCAGGCCATAAAGGGTTCAGTAACCACTTCCTGTGGTGCCCTTCCCAGGAGCCCTTACCACTGCTCACCCTGCAGGTATTTAATGGACCCCCTCAGCGTGTCTGCCAGGGTCCGGGTTCCATGTCACATGGCAGGGGCTCAGAAGGGACCGTGGGGCTGGCAAGAAGCCTGAGCTGGTGCCCATCTTCCCGCAGTGCTGTCGCCAGAGAGAGACGGCCAACAGTGTGCTCGGGGAGGGAGCACGAAGCAGACCCCAAACATCTGAATTTCCATTTGAGTTGCAGGCTTCCCCTTAAGCCGTGTCAGCCTTAGGAAAGAGCTGTGCCTTGTTCCTAGCCCATACCTGGAGCTGGAAGCTGCTCGCACGCCCTCTCCGTCCCCACCACTAACAGCAGCATTTCTGGCCCCCTCAGCCCGAGGTCTCGGGGTCTCGGGGCCCAGCATTTCCCGACTCCTTATCTGTGGCTCTCCCTTGCACTCAGCTGTCCCCTCAGCGTGAATCCCATTTCCTTGTAGCAGGTTCTCACGTTCAGCCTTTAAATATTCTTGCTAGATTAGTCGGTGAGTTTAGAAGCACAGAGCCCTATTTCAGGAAGGAGAAGCCCTGAGGCAATTGCTTTCAAGTCAGCCAGGCCATCAACGTAGATCCACCCTGAGGTTGGAAGCCTCTGATTCCCAGGAGCAGTCCCGCCTCCCTGCAGTCTCTGCATCTGGCTCTCTCACCGGGATATGGAGAGACCTCCCACCCTCCCCCAGCCCCAGTCTCGTCCTAAAGGTGGCCGTGGCACACTTGGCATGCAGGCACCTAGTCCTTCCTGGAAGCACAGGGCCCACCTGGCACTGACCTACTCACCAGGCCCTCCTGAGTGCCAGGCTCTCCTGAGTGCCAGGGCCTCCTGAGTGCCAGGCCCTGGGCTGAGCCCTGGAAACAGAGGGAAGGAGACTTGGTTCCGACCAGCAGTGCAGACACGGAGGCAGGGGAGACTGATGGGAACAGAGAGACGGCAGGCCAGTGCTGGAGGTGCAGCGGCCAAGGTCTACTGAAGGCAGGAGGGTGAGGAGAGGCTCAGAGGAGACCTGGCACTCACCCCGTAAGGCCTAGAAGCACCTCAGTGTGGCTCTAGCGAGAAAGGAGGGGAAGCCACCCGCTGCCCCAACAACTAGGGCCTTTAGCTCTGTGAATCTGTCTGGTCTCCACTTAGCAAATGCTAGGCGCTGAAGTGCAAATGGAGATGGAACACAGAAAGGACAAAGCGTGGGGCTGAGGCCACCGTACAAGCTGAAGACCAAGAACAGGATCACACAAACAGGGTCCAGGCTCAGCAACCATTTTTACAGCTGCCGTCCAGCTATCTCACACTCGGATGATAACAATAATAGTTATGACAGTAGCTAACTCTTACCAGATGCTTACTACGTGCCCAGCGCTTTACACATTTGAGTTCACTTAAAGCTCATGGTAGCCCTATGAGGGAGAAACTATGATTATTCCCATTGCACAGATAAGTAAACTGAGGCACAGTGAGGTCAGATAACTTACCCAAGGCCTCACGGCTGGTCAGTGGTAGCATCATGCCTGTGGAGCCAGGTAGTGCCATCTGAGTCTGTGCTCCCATCACTACCCTATCTTGGCCGTTCTCTCTAATCCATCGTTCAGGGTATCTTAGAATTAACGCGGGAATTGGATGCGTCCTGATTTATACCAATGAGAAAGGGGCTGGAACCCTTTCAATGAGTGCACGGAAGAGACTGTAAAATAGAGAAAATAAGGACTGAGGAGTTTCTTGGGGCCTTACCATCAATACCTCGTTTGTTAACCTCACACAAGCAGTTCGAGTGGGAAAGGACACAGTTGGCATGTGTTTGGAAGCCAGCTCAGGTGGAGCGATGAGGTGGGGACAGGAAGCTGAGGAGGCGGGAGGCTCAGGCTGGAGGTGGGGAGGAGGACCTTCAGCGGGGTGGGCGCCAGAGTCATCTGTCATGCAAGGCTCCTGGAGGACAGCTCCCAGTGCAGGCGGGGGAGGCCCAGGCAGAGGGGTCAGAGTTCACAGCAGGGTGGAGGACCATGGTGTGGAGGTGGCCTGGAGAGTGCACGGACCACGGGATCTGTGGAGTGTGGGTAAAACAAGCAGCTCCTGCCCCAGAGGGCTTCAAGGGCAGTGGGACCTGACCCCTGGTGTGCCCTCCAGCTGGGTCACACTTCTCCGGGCCCTTTGGCATCCGGAACCTCCGGTAGGTCCCTGGGTGGAACGGACCCTCTTCACTGCCAGGTCTTGTACAGACGGATCCTTGTGTCTGGAATGCTTTTTAACCCCACCTCCAAGCCTTACGCCTGGTTAACTACTAACTGTTCCCCTTCTGCTCTCAAGTGACGTCTCTGAAAAGCATTTTCTACTTGCCATAACTAGGTTAGGTATCCCTCCTTTATTACAGCTCTGCTCAACCTTCTTATAGCAGCTTACAGCTGGATGGACATAGCTGCCTACTCCTCTACCCCAACATGCTGTAAGCTCCTAGGAACTGTCTTGGATATAGGAACTGTCTTGTTTCCCAGTGTATGTACAATACTCACCTAGAGGCTGGGTCAGAGTGGGAGCTCGGGAAATATCTGCCCAATGAATCAATGAATCAGTTAGTTCATGGGGATAGAAGAGGTTGCCCCCATCCTGTCTGCTGATCAAAGGGAAGGCCTAACTCGAACCTCTGCATTCAGCCCATGTTAAGGGGCGGAGACGTATGTAAGAGCCAGGGGGCACCTGGCAAGGAGTGGCGTAGGAGGTGGTGGAACCAAACTCAGGTGTAGTCGGAGAGGTCAGCCAAACAATTCCAAGAAGGTGGTGGTCATAAGTGTCGATACCCAAGAGAGCTTAACAATGAGAATTGAATTTGAATTTCTGTTGGGTTGGGCTCGGCTATACAGACTTCGCTGCAGAGTGATTGCAGAGCGTGGCGGAGGGAGGGAAAGGTGAGAAGACGCTGTGTGTATGGCCAGCAAAGGGAAGGAGAGGTAGACATGGGGCTTGAGGAGCCTGTACTCGTCTGCTAGGGCCGCCATCACAAAATACCGCAGGCTGGGTGACTTAAACAGCAGAAACTTATTTTCTCACCGTTCTGGAGGCTCGAAGTCTGAGATCAAGGTGTCAGCAGGGTGGGTTTCTTCTGAGGCCTCTCTCTCTGTCTTGTAGATGGCCACCTTCTCCCTGGGTCTTCACATGGTCTTCCCTCTGTGCCTGTGTCCAGATTTCCTCTTCTTACAAGAACACCGGTCATATTGGATCAGGGTCCACCCATATGAGCTCATCTCACCTTAACTGCCTTTTTTAAAAAATTATTTATTTATTTATTTATCTGCGTCGAGTCTTAGTTGCGGCATGCGGGATCTTAGTTCCGGCACGCAGGCGTCTCTCTAGCTGTGGCGCATGAGCTCAGTAGTTCTGTTGTGGCACACGGGCTCTCTAGTTGTGGCATGCGGGCTTAGTTGCCCCCGTGGCATGTGGGATCTTAGTTCCCCAACTAGGGATCGAACCCATGTTCCCTGCATTGGAAGGTGGATTCTTAACCACCGGACCACCAGGGATGTCCCCTTAACTGCCTCTTTAAAGGCCCCTTCTCTGAATACAGTCACAGTCTGAGATACTGACGGCTGGACTTTCCACGTATGAATTTGGGAGATACACTTCAGGCCACATAGGAAAGAAGAGTGGAGAGAATTAATTCATGATGGGCAGGACTTCAGCAGGGAATCACTGTGGCAGGAAGGTCCTGGAGGAAGCTGGAGGACTCCTGAGAGGCAGTCATCTCTGAATATGTGAGGACAGTCCTCATGCTGTGCCCCAGCCTTGCTTTCAGCAGAGGTGGCTGTGTCCACCTCTGAGCAACAGGTGGCCCAGCTTGTGCTTAGCCACCTGGGCCTCCAGGATGGGGGCCGAGTGTCTGTCCAGTGGGGCTTCCCTCACTGCACCAGCTGGGGCTGCTGTGCGTTTAATCTTGCCATACCTGGCCTGTTCTAGATTGTCCCATTCTGAAACTGGGCCAGGGGACGTGATTCTATGAAAGAGTTCCTCTTGGCCCAGGGAGTCTCATGAGAGAGTCTCAGGTAAAGGCATTTCAGCAAAGCCAGACACATTTTTTTTAACAACAGAATCCTACATACATGATAGATTTAAATCCCTCTTGTGCCGAAATAGGGAATTGTATCCTTCCCTGATTTTCTAAACACCTTTCCCAACTGTGATCGTGCAAAGCTTGAAAGGCACCAGTGGTGAAGCGTTCAAGGGAGTGTATGTCTTATTAAAGCCATTTATATCTCAGGCAGTAGGTGAGATACATGTGTGTGAGAGAGAGGGATTGATTCTCCCCCCTGCACACTGTCTAGCCTTCCCCCAGATTAACCCAGTGTTCACTCATCAGGTGGTGGGTAGGGTCGCCTGTGATCGGTAGGACTGTTGAAAGAGCAAGTAGAGCCACGACGGGGCCTGTCCTGCCACCCAGAGCTTGACAGTGAGCCCATTGCCTCCAAAACGTTATTGAATGGTTTGAAACAAGAAAAAGTTCCTGTGGTTTTTTTTTTTATACACCTTAGGATAAACTACCCCCCTCGGGTTGAATCTTTAAATGTTTTAGACAAAATTCTGCTCATTTTTCTTAGTTTCTGTTTTTCCATTGGGTATTTTTTGTAAAGTGTAGACAGAAGCAAGGTTGCTCTCACTTACAAATTATAATTTGCTGATTCCCACAAAGAGACCTGTCTTCTTGTCTAAGCTGCACCCAAATGCCTTTCCTCCCAAACCAGTGGTGCTGAGAAACCCTCAGCTAAAGAGATGGGCAGAAAGGGCCATGGCTCTTGACCCCCGCGGAAGGACCTTGTGGAACGTCACACGTGGCTTCAGCCAAGTTGCCCAAAAAAGGCAGCGAGGCTGCCGGAGGTCAGGGCTTGCTGAGTGAGGCTCTTCCTCTGTCAGGGCCAGGTTCCTTTAAAGAGCAGCCTGTGAGCTGAGGGGCATCCAGAGTGGCAGGGACCGCCTCTCCCTTCTCGTGCATGTCAAGGAGAGGGCTACTCTCGGCCACAGACAGGCCCCACGGAAGCAAGCCTCCAACAGTGATCACAAAGGGCCGAGGGCTCCGAGGCTTCCGGCCTTGGTCACCTGGCAGATGCACGCAGGGAGAGCCACCCTGTACAGCCGGTCCCTGCGCCATTCGCCAGAGAGCCCCCTTTCCTGTTTCACCCATCCAGCTCTCGGGTGCACAGCCAACTTCTTATCTATCAGCCAGCGTGAGAGAGAGGGGGACAGCAAACACAGTCAGCCAGCTCTGGATGGAACGCGCCTTTCAGAAATGTGGGACCCTCTGGGCTGCAGTGGTTCTTAGGTCTCCCAGAGCCACGGATGGCTTTTAAAGGAAGTGTCCTGTGCGTCGGATCTTTCAGCTGAAAGTGGACAAGGTAGCGGGCAGTTCCAAGGGCGGCCCTCGGAAGTCTGGTCGCAGTGGCAAAGCCAGCACCACGGACAGCAGAGCGGTGAGCAGCAGTCCCACCAGCAGCCGGGTCAGACTGAAGTGTTCCAGGTAAATCAGCGAGCACCGCCTTCTCGTAGGTACCGGCGCCTCTCTCTGCTTCCTGTCCCCCTCGGTCTCTGCCTCCCTGCCACAGCACGACTGCCGATAGAGACTGTGAGTGCTGGCCCCTCCCAGGGAAGGTAGTAGCCCTGACTTGAGGGGGCCCAGTAGGAGGCTCGGCTCTTCTCATGAGGCTGCCTGGGCGCCTTGCCACTCTGAGTTTTTTGAGCCATTCCTGGTCCATCCCTCGCGCCTGGGGCAGCCCTGACCTAAGTGTGCAGCAGCAGTGGGCGCTGCCGGCAGCCCCGTGGCACAGGACGCAGCCCCTTCGGGGTGTTCAGAGCTCCACTTTTCAGCCAGAAAAGTTCTCACTGGGGAAAGGCTCCTGTTGGGGGCATGAACCGGCTGATGCTCCAGCCACCCCACCAGGTCTTCATGAGGGAGCCCCAGGTGCCTTCTGTCATGTCCCAGAGCCTGCCCCGCAGAGCGAGGATGGGGGAGGAAACACCTGGTGGTAGGGCTCTGAGACCCACAGACTAAGATCCCCCTTCTCAAGGGAGAGCTTTCCCTTTACCCCACCCTCATCCCAAGCACCTTTCCCACCAGGTCGAGCAACATCTTCAGAGACAAAGGTCTAGAACCCAGATGTCACTCCAGGTCCGCAAAGGGGCAGGATCCTTTTACATATGCAGAGAGGTACCCTGACCTATAATGATTAGCCCCTCCTTCCTCCATCCATAAGGCTCAGCCCCGGCCCATTCTTATGCGTCACAACTGCCATGTAAGGCAGAATTCCCTAACCTGGTTCTTCATGGTCACGATGCTAAAAAGAATTCTTGGTCAAATAAGTTTGTGAAACATGATTAAACAGACTTATTCGGTTTCTTGACTGCAGGCCTTATCAGAGCCTTTATCATACTAACGAGCACTGAGGATTTTTAGGAGGTAGGCAAAGTATACCTTGTTTCCCAAACTCATTTGTCCACAGAATTCTTTCCTCCCAGAGTATCTCATGGGCCAAGAATTGGACACAACACACTTTGGGACATTTGCCATAAGGGATGGAAATATAGCTCCTTGGATTTTCTGGATGGGTAGTCTGAGGCCCAGAGAACTTGAAGGACTTGTTAAAGGTGAAGTCTAACCTTGCAGGGATTTGGCCTTGCCCTAGATATACACAGTGAAGACAGGCCACTCAGCTGTTCACGCACGTAGCCCTCCTTTTTCCCCTCCCCATGTTGCAGCGCTGTTGCATTTTCATCATTGGTTGTGTGTACCTTGCTTGGCACCAACCTGGGTTCTCCCCACCAGTGGGTCTCTTGTCCACCCTGTGTCCTGGCTCAGTTTTAAATAGAGAAAGGTCGTGTCCTGAAGTTGTGTTTGTGTGCTGGAATGACAGCTCCCAGGAGAGGACAGCTTCCCAGGACCTCAGACATTTGAGGACCGTCTCAGAGCATCCCTAAGGTGGCCGGTGGCGTGTTCCTGGGCCGCCCCCTTAGAGAGATGACCATGAGGGTGGCTGGCAGGCTGGGCTCCTGGGACATGCCAGTGCCCAGGAGGATGAGCCGACTCCCCTGCGCTTTCTTTTCTTCTCTCCTGCAGGACATGCTGCCCATGCCAGGAGATCCAACCCAGGGGACCGGCAACTATAACATTGAAGACTTTGCCGACCTGGGCATGTTCCCGCCGTTTTCTGAGTAGCTGCGGACAGAGCGAGCCTTCCACCGGGCAGTGCCCCCCATACTGTGACATCGACGCCCACGTGAACGGGGCCCTCCCTGCTTGCCCTGCCGCGGGACCCCCCAGCAGAAGACATCTCGCCCCCCGTGTTCCCCTCACTGCCGTGGTGTTGGTCAGCTTTTAACCCACAGCTGCAGCTGCTCGGCCACCGACCAGGAGCCCAGTAGACGTTGGGGGCTGGTTGTATTTATTGTATTTTACCTGTCTGTGCTTGGGAGGCGAGCCCATGGGGTTCTTAAAATCTGGTTGTGAATAATCTCATATTAGACAATTTTCATCTATAAAAAGTTCAGTTACAGCTCAGAGAGCCCAAGCCGCACCCTCAGGCCTGCCCAGGAAGCTGGAATCTGGTTTCTTCTGGCCTTTAACTCCTGTGTCTGGGTGGGGCTTAGAGGGTGTTGGGGAAAGAGGTGAACAGGATGCACAGGCTTTGTTCTCAGAGCTGGAGAGGAGGAGCCTGGGGACACCGAGGTGGGGGGGACGCTGGCTCCTCTGGGCCCTGTCTCAGCCACGTCTGTCTGTGCGTCTGTCGTGCCGTGAGACGTGTGTACTTGGTGCAGTGTGATGTGAATCCTTGTCCTGATGGATGTGTTGTGCCCCGTGTCTGTCGTGTGCGGCCACAGTGAGGGTCTAGAATCCAGGGTGTGTGGCGAGAGTGACATCCCGGATGTGCAGCCCCATCCAAGCTGAGCAGGACCCCCTGTGGCCGGAGGAAGCAGGGCCCAGGGCCTGGGTGCCGCAGACAGGCTGAACTGAGCAGATGGGCACTTGACAGCGTCACCAGGAGTCCTGGCCGGGAGCTGCTCACTTTGATGGGTCAGTTCTTTGGTCCAAGCCCCCCGCGTGCAGATTCAGAGCCCACGAGAGTGCCCACCCTTTCCTTTGTGTCTGAAGAGCAGCCTCTCCTGGTTCCACCAGGGTTTCTCATCCTTGCCCTGTTGGTGAGAGCCGGGCTTTGTCCCCGCCCGATGGCTGCAGGGGGCACCCCTTGAGCTCGCAGAGACCCTGGCCCCCATGGGGGTGTGAGGGGGAGGGCAGGGCGCCCAGGCCTCCCAGTCCTTCTGTGCCACAGGGTACCTTCCTGGGACCAAGCTCTGGAGATGACTGAGGAGTGAACCCTGTGCGTGGAGGTGGGAGCTCTGAGACGTTCCCCACCAGGCCGCCCGAGCGTCCTCTCTTCAGCCGGCTGGGAACAGTGGCATCTCGGGGGGTGGAGGCTGGGGGTGGGGGGGATTGCAGGACTCCGGCTCCGGTTTTGGTTCCAGTTCTGATTCTGCCGCATACTCGCCAGGGCCTTGAATTCCTCAGGTGGTCTCAAGACAGAGTAAGAGCTGACTTCTAGAAGCTTCTACCTGGCTGACCTCTGAGCCCCCGGTCCCTGGCTTGCTGTGTTTCCCTCAGATTTGAGGAGGCCAGTTGAAGAATCCATCCCTCCATTTTTACTTACCTCTGCCCCTCGCGTGCCCTTGACGCTAAGGAAAGAAACTCTCACGTTCTCTTCCTTTCCTGTCCTGCATCAGCATCCCATCAGCTCACCGACTCCTAAAGGGGAGAAACGCTGCCGGTGCGTGGCTGCCTCGGGGCAGCTGGAGGAGCCCATCCACGGGGAAAGCCTTCCCTTCCGGCCGACCCCTGTCAGGCACCTGGCTGGGAAGCAACCCTTGTATCCCTCCTTCCGTAATTCTGATGGGCCAGGCAGAATGGAGTTGCTTCTAGGCTGCCTGAGCGGGGAGTGAGCCTGGCCTGCAGGAAGGAGCCAAAGGAGGGGGTTTGCTCTCATCCTCTGAAAGTTCTGAATTAAAAGCCCAGCCCTGGGGCTTCCCTGGTGGCGCAGTGGTTGAGAGTCCGCCTGCCGATGCAGGGGATACGGGTTCGTGCCCCGGTCTGGGAAGATCCCACATGCCGCGGAGTGGCTGGGCCCGTGAGCCATGTACGTTGAGCCTGCTCGTCCGGAGCCTGTGCTCCACAACGGGAGAGGCCACAACAGTGAGAGGCCCACATACCGCAAAAAAAAAAAAAAAAA